ATTCAAAATACCAACCTTTTAGTTAGTAGCCAAGTTCTCAGCCATTTGTGCCTCCCAGAAACGAATAACAGAGGTAACCAGAAAGGATTTGGGAAGTGGGCAGATAGGGACAGGGATGGGAAGGAGACTCTTAAAAACATACATATATGTATATTTGAACCCTGAGAATGTATTCTTGTGTATGAACTCTTTTTGTTTCTCACATATCCTCTCAAGAAACACCCACTTGAGTTAACTGTAGTGTCTGCTTCTCTCAATCAAAGAGTCTAACAAGAACACCTGAAAAAAAGAAGGTCTTCCCTGCAATTGAGCCGGAGGGTGGAGGGGCTTAGTGTTTTCAGTCTTCAAGAAGAATGGAGGACAGGTGCCCATGATAAGGTTATTGGCCTCTCAGCAGGGAGTCAGGGGTTAGGCCAAAAAGGCCCTGAAACGAAATTCGGGGGCTAGTACCTCATAGCCATGGTTGCAGGTTTTTGTTGAGCTCAGCCTTACCCTTTTCCTTACCCTGATGAGGAACCTGCTTGGTTCTCTTGGAGGCATCATCACATTCCAAAGCCAGGCTTGAGGGAGAAGATATCCAAGGCAGAGAGTGAGAGAGGAAGGTCATTCAAGGGGAGGAAAGCAAACTGATTGGATTCACATTATCAAGAAGCCGCAGGAATAGGTTTGGGCCTAAGAAGGTATTCAGGGTCTGGGTAATAGAATGCCCAATCTACTCACTGTTTTCTTCAGATCATTCTGTGTGTTGAACGGGACCAGGCACACAATAGGCACTTGAATTCCTGTGGGTGAGTGGAATTGATTCCGATGCCTCCTTAGCTGTGCTTCAGATGGCCCTGAACTCAGGGCAGACTGAGGAAGATGCCTTGGATGACTCCACTCTCAAAGTAGTCCCACCTCTGCCACACCCACAACTCTTGTCTTCTCTCACAAAGGAGCGGAGAGACACAGACGGTACTTCATTGGTGCTTTATTGTACAGAAGAATCCAAATATTTACATCTTGACAAGTCTTACACTTCACACAGCTGGAGAGAGCATGGGATTGGAAACCATAAGTGATGTAGGAGGTGGTGGGTGGGAGAATTTACTAAACCAGAGCAGAGGTAGTTAGAGGAGATGATGAGAGGAACAAGGGTTTTAGCTACTTCCCATCATCCTCACTTACTCAGGCCTGTAGAAAGATCATTAAGGAGTCCTGGTATGGCGCTGTAAGTTAATGCATCAGACTGCAAAGCCATTTGAACTGCAAGGTCGGTGGTTCAAGCTCACCAGCAGCTCCTTGGAAACCCTGTACAGGGTCGCTATGGGTTGGAACTGACTCGACGGCACTCAACAACAATGAGTGCTGTCATTTCTTCCTACTTGCCTTCCCTTAACTCTTAACCTTTGATTCTTGGGAAAAAATTAAGAGGCTAGAGGTGGAGATAGGAAGTTAAGGAGAAGGCCCAGTGAAAGACTTTGTTAATCCATAGTTTTCAAATCTTAGCACTGAATTAAGAGATGTACAGAGGTACTTAAAAACCATGTTTTTACTATAGGCAGCGCTTCTCTACAAATTGGTCTGAGAAGAGATTGCAGTTGGCACTGTCTGCTGAGGGCACAATACCCAAAGTCCAGGGCAAAACATGTCAGGTTAGCTGATTGCAACATTTCTACCTCCACAACCCCCTGGGAAGGGTTCTTTTCCATGAACACTGATTTGGGAGATTTTGTCAACCATACAAAATGCATTTACATGCATTTAATAACATGCCTTTTGATTTGCATGTAATCAAAGACATACATAATTGTCCATCAGAACTACTGATCATTATGATAGCCGAAGGAGTAACATATTGACTTACTAGCAATCCTGTCAAAAACAAAGAAACTTTACAGTAGCACAGCTTTATTTTGGGTAAATGTACAACATCAATTTGACTTTTTGTTTAATGACCATAGCTCATAACAAATACCTCGCTCCCTTCCCCGATCTCTTCCAGAAGGTCCAACCTTAGCAGATTCATGATTTTCAGAAGCAGAAGATATGGTGGTAATGATGCCACTAGAGCCTGAAGCTGACAAGTAGTCATCTCCCTTATGTGGAAGAGGTCGCCTGTAGGGAACAATGCCCATAACTGCTACACTTCCAACACCTGGCTCCACTCCACTCAAGGCTGGCCCCTGACTTCATGGTGGGCACCAATGACAGGGGAGAGTCTTAAATAATTCCTGAATGACACCAACTTTGTCATCCCTGGGACATCTCAGAGAACTACTTTCCCAGATTTAAAAAAACACCAACCAAAGAGAAACCATTGCCACTGAGCCGATTCTGATATACAGCGACCCTATATATAGGACAGAGCAGGAGTCCTGGTGTGGCGCTGTGGGCTAATGCGCTGGACTGCAAGGTCAGTTTGAACTGCAAGATTGGTGGTTTAGACTCACCAGTCACTCCTTGAAAACCCTACACGAGGCAGAGCCACTTGATGGCACTAAACAACAACACAACATAGGACAGAATAGAGCTGTCCCTTGGGTTTCCAAGGCTGTAATCTTTATGGAAGCATACAGTCTCATCTTTCTCCCATGGTGCTGTTGGTAGGTTTAAACTGAAGACCTTCTGGTTAGCAGTCAAGTCCTTCACTACTGTGTTATCAGGGCTCTGATGTTGTTGCTAAGTGTTGTAGAGTTGATTCGAACTCATAGCAATCCTGTACAGGGTTTCCAATGGGTAAATGGTGGATTTGAACCACTGACCTTGTGGCTCGCAGTCCAGTGCTGATCCTATAGTGCCACACCAGGAGTCCTAAGTGTCACCAATTCTCAGCGTCCCCAAAAGATAAAATTCCTCCCATCAAGGGCTCTTGATCCACTCTAGGGAAATAGTTGTCGCTGTTGTTTTTTAGGTGCTGTTGAGTCGGTCCTAATTCATAGTGCCCCTATGAACAACTCACTGCCCAGTCTTGTACCATTCTTACAATTGTTGCCATGTTTGAGCCCAATGTTGTAACAACCACTGTGTCAAATAACTCACAAGGAATTCTCAAATAACCAACTGATAAACACACTATCATTTAGTGAGTGCCCACTCTGAGTCTAAGGAGCTCTGGTAGCATAGTGAATCAGGGTTGCTATTAGTAGGAATCAACTCATTGGCACACAACCACCACCACCCTTCTAAGTATGACCCTGTGCTAGGATGCTAAGATTCTTCTTGGATTGCAAGATCAGCACATTCATCTTCAGACCCTGCAAGAGTCTGGGTAACACAGTCGACCACACAAGATTTAGAAACGTGTCAAGTTCTTGTGGCCATGATCTCTCTTATACCTCTCAACAAGCTTAGGGGGCCTTGTTGACCTGACCCAGAGTTTCTATTAGTCATTGGTGGTAGCAGGAAGACAGACTAGAAGCTAAACTGCAGGTCATGAAACTAGGACCTTCTTAGGGTTGTCTAGTGGTAGAGACCCTGGGATGGGGTCTGGTTGGTGACCATGACAGGATTCAGGTTTCAGGTATCCAGGCTCCAGTTCTCCTGATGCAGCGGTGTCCTGGAATAAGTCTCACTCATTTCTTGGGTTCTTTTTTGTCTGTAAGAATCACCTTTTCTGTCTGTAAGGATATCCCAGCTCTCACTCCCTCGATGTGAGATTGAACATGTGTGTGTATTGGGTGCTCTGTGGAAACCTTCAAGGCACTTGGCAAACCATAAGGTAGAAGGTCATAAGGAGGGAGATAGAAGAATCTGTGGCCTCTTTTGGAGCACCCAAGGAACCCCAGAACCCTATAATGCATCCTAGTATATAAATATCTCTCCTCTTTGTTGATTAAGGGCCCCTGACCCACAGGGAAGGCAGGACCAAGGATGAAGACCAGGCTTGTGGCAGGAGGTATATGATGGAGAACCATAAGATGGTGCCAGAGAAAACCCAGTCACAGTTTTTCCTGGGTACCTCATCTGCTGCAGACCCTGAAAGCAAAAGTTCTATTGGTGCCTGGGCTTGGGGAGGGAGTGGGAACACTCAGCCTCTGTCCCAACTCAGGGAGCTGAGGCTAGAATCCAAGGTCTCCCCCTTCCTTCCCAGGGTAGGATAAGAGGGCTGGGATAGTAGAGTTGCCTCAGTACCTCCCTCATCCTAAGGCAAGCTCCTAGGATTAGAGTTTTCAAGAATTGGTGACATCTTGTGATGTCACTGGGTAAGCACCAGGCAGTACAAGGAGGAGTCCCTTGAGAGAGAGCAGTGCTAAGTTCTGTGAGATGCTCATAGATATTCCATATAAACCAACTAACCAAACAAAAACCTATTGGCAAATAATCTGGGGGGCTGGAATAAACAAAGTCTAACAGGGAGTCCTGGTGTGGTGCTGTGGGTTAATGTGCCAGACAGCAAAATCATTTGAACTGCAAGGTCGGTGGTTAAAGCTCACCAGCTGCTCCTCAGAAACCCTATACAGGGTCACTATGGGTCAGAATCGACTCGATGGCACTTAACATAAACAACAGGTTTTACTGCTGCAGAAATTCCCAGTCTTTACTGCACGAATATGCCTTGTGAATCTCTAGGAAAGGGATGTAATACGTAATGTATTCCCAAACTTGTTTCAGTAGGAAGTCTTTTTACATAGCATACCCCAAGATTAATGCCACACAGAACACATTTTGTCTCTTATCCATGAGTATAAAGGAGATGTCCAATTGCCTTTGGCAGCTTGGCCCTTCTATGTGAGGTCCCCTCCACACTGTGTCCTGATCCTGGACCTGTTCAGCCTGCCCCCACTTCGTTGTCTTTTGCTTTCCTCATTTCCCCTAAGCAGACACATTTCCAGGTCTCTGGTCCACAGGTTCAGATGTAACAGGGAAAAGACTCAACATGGATCTGAAGCTGAGTAAGGTCAAGAAGCACCCGTTGGTGATGGCCATAGAAGAGAGGAGGCCAGTTGAGTCAGAGACTGGGGTATCCTGCTATGGATCACACTGTTGACTTTCGGTTGTATTTATTTTACAAGCAGCCATCATTCATGGAAGAGGGAGCGAGGGAGGGAAGAGCTTAGAAGAATGGAGAGGGACATTTCTAAGTGTTAGGCAAAGGCTGATCCAGATGACCGGAAACCCCCACCCACTGACAAGCCCTTGCCTCCTGAGGCTCCCTCTGCCCTCAGCAGCAGTTCTCCATCCATGGAAGGTTGAGAATTCCCAAAGTGGATCCCCTCTGGCTCTACAAAATGACTGCTCTCCAGCCTGGGGCCCTCTGGCTGCTGACAGGAAATGAGGGTCACTGAGGGAAAGCCATAGGTCTCCAGCCCAGGAGGTCGCCCAGCCTCAGAAGCTTCCATAATGAGATCCACATCAGAGAAGGTGACCAGGGCCTGGGTGGAATCGCAGGAGCTCTTCTCCAGCTCGCTGGTAGCAGCATAGGCTAGGGGACCTGGGACCCCCGTACGGGGCCTGAGCCGGCGCAGGTCATCCCGGAAGTGGGGGTTGAAGAGCAGGTAGAGCAGAGGGTTGAGGCAGGCTGGCAGGGGCAGTACCACGAGCAGGACTGATTTGACGGCCTCTGGGGTGACAGGAAAGAGGCCCAGCATGGAGGCGAAGCTCAGAAAGGCCACGGGACAGTAGAGGAGCCCATCGGCAAAGATGAGCCAGGCCACATGCCTCACCATGGCGCAGTCCCACACGGCCTCGAAGTCGCCTCGGGGCAGGTCACAGTAGAGTTTGATGTAGGCACCAGCCACTACCAGGAAGCAGAAGGAGTTCAGCATAACCAGGGCCACGGCGAAGCCCAGCGCTGCTGGCTGACCCTCGGGCGGGGCGTACGGCAGGCAGAGTGGAGAGGACCCATATTCTCCCACCGAGGCCAGGGGCAGGGCTGCAGCCAGCCCTGCCAACGTCAGGCAGCAAAGGGCCCCCGCTCGGACGCTGCCCAGGGAGGGGGCCTTCCCATAGGCCCTGACGCAGGAGACGGAGACACTGCACTGCACGGCGGCCAGAGTGAGCAGCAGCACCGAGGCTTCCGAGCCCAACACCGCCAGGAAGCCAGTAGCTCGGCAGCCCAGCCCCGTTTCCCAGCGGGCTCCATACTCAGAGAACTGGCCGAAGGTCAGGGCATCCACGGAGGCAAGTAGGCCACAGGAGATGCCAGTCAAGGTGTTGGCACCTGCAATTGCACCTACCACAAACTTGACTGGGGGAAGGGGGACTGGCCCACTGGCAAACACGGTCAGCAGCACCAGCCCATTACAGAGGACAGAGAACAGCACGATGGCCCACACTGCCAGGCGGATACCCCAACTCTCAAAGAGGTGCTCACAGGGCTTGAAGGGGCCTGTAGGAGAGAGGGTTAGACATTACTCCAGGGCCAGAGGCTACTCTGCTGAGTCCTGAGGGCAAAGCCAGGGAGGCAGACATGGTCTTTACACTCAGAGGACATCCATTCTAAGGGTCACAGTCACAGTCTCACCCTTAGAGAGCTCCCAGCCTGAGGGAACAGACAGGAGGTAATATACACAGCTCTTCTTTCAAGGAGCAGCAAATGGGGTGAACACTAACCCTCCTCCTAATGTTGTTAGCTGCCATTGAGCTGATTTGGACTCAATAGAAACACATATAAACATATACACAGTGCAAATTAATGCAATTCAGATCCAGGCACTGGGGAAATAGGAAACTAAGATGTCTTTCCAAAGGAGTAGCAGTTGGAAGAAAAGGAGAGACAGGCTAGCATAAAGGAGTGGAGAGCGTAGGAGACCTGGGAAAATGGCCGAGGTAGAGACACAGAAGTGTGAGGGACTGCCCAAAGAGTCACCACTCAGCAGTTTGATGCTCTGCTTCTCCCATTAGTGCCCAGTGACCCTCACAGGTGTCCTTATGAAGGAGTCCTGACCAGGTCCTGCACCACGTTGGCTCTTCACATTTCAAATTCTATATTTTTGAGGCAAATAAATAAATTTTTAAAAAATCTAATTATAGAAAACTTGTGGGGCTTTCCAACAAGTTCCTCATGGAATGGGTGAGATCCAGATGTGTTTCATCTCTCTTCCCAGGGTCTGTTCTTACATCACCTTGTAATGTTGGACATATTATTTCTTTGCCTTCAGACTCTTGTTCTTCAATTGCCAGGTAGCTCGGGGACTTGAAAGGCTTTTGTGGGAGCTGTTTTTTAAACACATTTTTCCTGATTGCCAAATAATAGGTGGTAATTGAGAACATTTGGAAGATATAACATAGAAAAATAACAATTGCTTATGGTCTCACATCTCAGAGAGAACAGATCGTTTTGGTACACTTCCTTCCAGCTTTAAAAAAATACATGTAGGTATATGTATTTTAAAATGAAATTGGGATTTTACTACATATGGTTTTTTATTCTCTTTTTCTAAGTTAAAAATTTATATTCCTTGAAAACATGTTTTCAGTTGCTGTATGATAAATACTTCACCATATGGATGTACCATGATTTATTTGATCATTTGTATGAGCTATTAAAAGCAAGTTCTAGTTGGATTGTCTTTCAGAATTTCCTGTTTTACCTCAACTCTGCTGATGATTGGTTTTCAGAGGTGCAATTTCTGAACCATTGTGAAGCATGTGGGTTTCCAAGTCCGAAAAAAACACCACCTGTTTCCTCCCAGGTTGGGTTGGTGCTCTAGCGTGGGGCTGGCACTAGAGGGCGTGCGTTGTCACTTAGTATTGAGCGCAGGTGTAGGACAGGGTCAGGCAAACTCTCTTTAGGTCTTAGAGAAGGCAAGAGTGGGGAAGACCTAGAAAATATGGAAAACTAGAAAGTGAAGGTGGAGTGAAATAGAAGAGTAATGCCGTTCGCTTCGTTCAAACCTTCTGAACAGCACCTACCCTGGCTTCTGCAATGTTTTGCTATTTTCTGGGCTGCCCTATTACCATTTTATACTCAAGGGAAACATCTTAGGTTTGACTTGCATTCAAGATAAAGAGAATTTTCTTTCTTTCCTCCCAACCAGATGAATTTAGATTGGATTGCGATGGTTGTTTCCTCAGCTATCAGGATTTGATATTTCTGTATGAAAGCACCCAGGGTGCTTCTAAGAAAGCTTTAAAGGAGTTGTAAGAAAAAGATTGTAATCTTCTTAGGAGGGAGTAGAGAGAGGTGGAGAAGGTTACCTTCCACATTCCACCCAGCTCTAGGATTCGATGGTGAGAGACTAAGACTGAGGGATTAATAAGACTCCATACAGAGCAATTGGGCTAAGGCATTCTTTCCTGTTTCTCTCCTCGGTGAGATGGGATTGCTGCTGGATGAATGATCTGTAATCAGTTGACTTGTAAAGGTTGCTTTGGCCCTCTCTGCTCCCCACAAGCAGCCACCCAAGGGAGAGAACCCTAGCTTCTTTCCCAGATATTTTGAAAGGAGGCTGCCCTCCTCCAGTAGTTGGGTCACAGGCAAAGAAAGTTCTTGATGTTTGGCTGCAGAAACAGGCATCTCATCTAGATGATATACACCCCCCTCCCCAGTCCTGAGCCCAATGACCAGGCACTCCTCTCACCTGGAAGCGGACTACACTGGACACTGAGGTGTGGCTTTGAGTCTTCCATCTCTAGCTGGAGCTCGTCCAGGTCCATATCATCTGCAAGGGGAGATGAGACGTGGTGTCCGTCAAGCCCTGCCTTACTCCAACACCCACTCCTGTAAGATGTTATCCTTGATTAACGCCATTTGGCACTGATCATTCCACCTGTTTCTACCTGCACATCTGTTTCTTACCTGGAGTGTAAACATCTAATCAGCTCCCTGGTTTCCACATGTGGACTTACTTGCATTGCTGGTTCTTTACAGTACTGGTTTCATCTGAGACTTGCTCTTTCGAATACTCAGCATGCTCTGTGCCCTTTCCAGTCAGCCTCGATCTGTGAGTGCTGTTTAGACTTAGAGGTGGAGCTGCCTTAAAAACATTCCTCTACACTGGCCAGCTGTCACTGTAATCCCATGTCCAGTTATGAACACATCACATTAAGAAGGACCTTTGTGGACTGCAGTATGTTTAAAGTGAAATGGATGGTGAGGGATCAGAAGTTATTTCTGTGAGAATCAGTGAAAGCAACTGAAGAAGGTAAGAGTATGTAGAGATACAATGGCTGTCCTCAAAGAGCTGAAGGTCTGTTAGTCATAAGGAGTTAGACTCATACTTGCTGTATGGTCGGTCTCAAAGGGTAGGACTAGGACCGATGGGTGGTTTGTAAGGGAGGCAAATTATTAATCATATGGACAAGTTCAGGTTCTTACTAACAAGAACATTGTTGCGAGCAGCCATTGAGTTGGCCCCTAACTCATGGCAACTCCATACACAATGGAATAACTGCCTAGTCCTATGCAATCCCTATGATCAGCTGCAAATAGGATATTTTTATTGGCTGGTTTGGGGAATAAAATTGCCAGGCCTTTCTCCTAGTCTGCCTTAGTCTGGAAGCTCTGCAGAAACCTATTCAACATTATAGCAACATGCAAGCCTCCACTGACACAGATGGTAGCTGTGTATGAGGTACACTGACTGCCAAGAACTGAACCCAGGTCTCCTACATGGAAGGCAAGAATTCTACCACTGAGCCACCAATATCTACCAATGCCCACAAGACTAAGCTCTTACCATTACAGATATCTAGCAAAGGAAAACATAGGCTCCAACAGGTGGACAGGAGGTCTACATGTGCTAATGCAATGCCTACCATATGCTGGGCTCTGAGAAAGTGCAAAGGAATTCAGGGGTGAGTAAGGCATGTCTCGTCCTTATGCAGATAAATGAGGGAACAAATTATGAGACAGTGTGCTGCATCAAATAATAGATTTCCTTAACAATAAAGATTGACATTCCTTGAGCTCTTACTCTGCACAAGGCACTGTACCTGGCCAGACTTCATTTTCACCATAACTGTCTGAGGCAGGTACCGCTGCTCTCCTTGCTTGATGAGGAAACTGAGGGGCATCAAAGTGGCTTGCCAGGTCTCATGGCCAGTGAGTGGCAAAGCAAAATTCAAACCCAGGTCTATCTGATTACAGAGCCCAGACTTTCTCAGGCGATGAACTGATTATTTTGTGGGGTTTAGTGGGGACAGGGGGAGGAAGGGGCCTGGTAAGATGGAGGAAATGACTAGGGAAAGCTTTACAAATGCACAGTGTGTCACTGAGATACTATTGAAGCAGGAAGTCGCTACTGTGAGAGAGAACACATCTACACTGACTCAGAGGTTGGGTCAGACCATCTTTAACGCTTCTTCCAGTTCTAAGTCTGGGTTCTATGACTCTGTCTGAGAATACAGAATTAGAAGGTTGAATCTTATCGGTAAAGAAATACTATAGCACGTTTGAATCAAATGGGATTTTTGTTGTTGTTTTTCACTATTGAAATGTTTCTTAAGCTAACCCACTGGCATCGTGTCAATTGGGACATATAATGACCGTATCAAACACAGTAGAATTGTTCTGTAGGGTTTCCGAGACTGTACATTTATATGAAAACTGACTGCCTCATCTTTCTCCCACAGTGCAGCTGGCAGGTTCGAACCATCAATCTTTCATTTAGCAGCCAAATACTTTAACCACTGTGTCACCAGGGCCCCTTGTTTCTTAAACTAGTGTGTGCAAACTCCAGGGGCCATGGGAATCTTCTTAGGGATCCATACATTCTACAAGAAATTTGAAATGACAATCTAAAGCATTTTATATGTGATAAAGACAATTTCCTTTGCAGTGATAATTCATAATTGAAAGACATTTTTAAGAAATGACTTTAGTTTCTCAAGTCAGTGTTTTCTGAGGCCCCAGACTAAGAAAGGTGTCTGAGAACCTCAGTGGTTCAAGAGAATTATTTTCCTTTAAAAAGCACCTGTACATTATTCAAGGAATTCCTGGGTGGCTCAAATGATTAAACACTTGGCTACTGACCAAAAGGTTGTTGTTAAGTGCCATCGAGTTAGTTCGACCCATAGTAACCCTGTATTAGGAGCAGCTGGTGAGCTCAAACTGCCGACCTTGTAATTCAAACCAACTATGCAGTCAAGTGCATTAACCCACAGTGCCAAACCAGGACTCTAAAAAGTAAACAGTTCAAATTCACTCTGCATGCCTCAGAAGAAAGCCCTGGTGGTCTGTTTCTAAAAGGTCGCAGCCATTTAAAAACCCTACAGAATGAAGCCCTACTCTGACGTACATGGGGTGTCCTGTGTCCAAATTGACAGCAACAGCTTTGGTTTGGTACATCATTCAAGTTTGAGACACAGAGTCCTGCAGGCTCTTCCTCCATCGTGCAGCTAATGGATAAATCACTCTGCTTGTTGTACTTGTTCCCATGTTTGTTCACATGCTCTGTTTCCTGAATGGGTCCTTCCTCCTCACCTTCAGTTTTCCCAGGAGGCAGGAAGACTGGCTGGAGCTGGCCTTGGCCTGGAAGCCAAGGTGTGGTCACAGAGCTCAAGCATTTTATTCCCCACCTTTCATTCCCTGCCTACTCCCGTTCTCCAGAATGGAGCTCAGCAGTTCTTTGAAATCAAAATGCATGAATGAAATACAAGGGGTTGAGGCCTGTGGACTCTGTCTGAGGCTGGGAAAGTCACAGCCAAGGTGTTAAGTAACCACTCTTCAAACAAGGAGGAAATCAAATCTGGCTGGAGCAGTAGCTCCTGGCTTCCCTTCTCGAGGCTCATTAGCTTCCACAGGAAGTGGGGGGCCCTGCCCTAGCTCCCGTTACAGGCGGCAGGCAGCCCACGATCCCGACACCCCGTGGTTCTCCAAAACCTAAACCCGGTGGAAAGTTTCACCTTGAGGAAGAAAAGTTTCCATTGCTTCTTCCAGCTCCCTGAGGGAGTGTACAGCAGACATCCGGGAACGTCCCCCAGGGACAGCCGTCTGCAGGCCCAGAGCCAGCCTGGCTGCTGGACTCCTCCTCACACGGGTCCTCAGACACTCTCTGGGGAGTTACACCCAGAGGGAGGCTCCCAGAGACCCCAGATTGCCTGCTCAACATTTGGCCTCTATAAACTCTGTCTTGCACTACACAACTACACTCTTCTTATTCATGAACACCAGAAAACAACCAGTTCTCCTCAGAAGTAGTAGAGCAAGTAGTAAACGTATTTTGCTATTTATAGACTCTTTTTAATACTCCCAACAGCCTATGACATCGATAATATTTCCCCAGTTTTACAACTACGGGATAAGGATACTGATGTTCAGCATGGTTAAGCAACTTGTCCAAGGCAACCCAGCTAGTGAATGGCTTAGAACCCAAGTCTCTCTATACCATCATGAGATGTTTTTTCTCATCTATTTAGATTTGATTTTTTTTTGTTTAACTTCTCCATTGAGATATTATGGAGAGGGAGTAGGAATTTAGAAAAACAAAACCCCAAACTACCCAACAACAATCAGTAGGGACTCTTCTTTTCTTCCTTCTAATTCTGCTCCAGTTCTGTAACGTGGAAGACGGGTAGAGAGAAGTGCTTTTCTTGTCCCTTTATTTCAGATAACAGTTACTAGACGATCCGATCCCTCAGAAACTCCCTTGGCTACCTGCCCTCAACCTTTGCCTATTACTCCAACTCTTCCAGAAACAGTCTGTGTTGGAATGACCCTCCTCAAACAAGACCCTTTTAGACCTACTGACAAGTGACATCTCACTTCCAGACTTGTTGAGGTAGAATGGAGAGGCAGGATAGACTAGGACAGCAACATTTCCTTGTTTAGCACTGTAGAATAAACACTGGATTGCTAACCACAAACCCACCAGCCAACCACTCCTTGGAAACCCTATACGAGGTCACTATGAGTTAGATCTGACTTGATGACACTTAGCAACAGTAACAATTCCTTCTGGTTCTCGAACATATTGTGAAGATTTTTTTTTTTCTTTCCTGGAAGCAGATTGAATTCAAGTGATTTAATTGAATGTGACCTGACTCGGGTTGATTAAATACATGGGTCTATCTTCTCTGAAAGGAGCTCTGGTAGCGTTGTGGCTACAAGTCAAGCTGCTAATCTCAAGGTCAGCAGTTCAAAACTACCATGGGAGAAAGATGAGGCTTTCTGCTCCCGTAAAGATTTATAGTCTCGGAAATCCTGTGTAGAGATACTATGAGTCAGAACTGACTCCATGGAACATAACCACCGCCACAACCATCTTCTCTGAGAATGCCCTAATGTTGAAGGACAGAAACCCATGTGATGAGGAGACAGCCTTGGAGAAGAAACAGATGAGCTATGTGGGCAGCCATATTAACTGAGACAACACAAATAAGAGCTCTCTGTGAACTACAAAGGGCTTGACAAAAATTGAAATACTACTATTGTCATTGTCATTACTATGGGCTGAATTGTGGCCTCCAAAAATAGGTGTAGAAATCCTAGCTCTTGCATCTATAAATACGATGCTGTGTGGAAATAAAGGGTTCCTTTTGTTATGTTGATGAGACCATATCAGAGGAGGGTTGTTCTTAAATCTACTCATTTCTGTGTGATAAAAAGAGCAGAACAGACACACAGACACACACTGGGCAAGACAGACCGCATGTGAGGCTCGTCTACAAGGCAATGAACACCTGGGGCTACAGACAAGAAAATATTTGACATGACCAAGACTCTGAGTTAGGGTTTCAGCCTCCAGAACTAAAAATAATGAGAAAATAATGAGCAAATAAATTTCTACTCTTTAAAGTCACTCACTTGTGCTATTTCTGTTACAGAAGCCCTGGGTAATGATGACAGTCATCATCATTTTTTTTTTTTTTTCCAAGCACCTCTGGGGTGTGAGAAGGAAGCACATGATGGCTATTTCTCCCTCCTTGAAAAGACACGGTGCAAACACTACAGTTTCTTCCTCCCTAGAACTCCCCTCAGCAGCCCCAGCAATCCCCCTTCTCAGGATCCCCCAAGCCTCCTCTCTAACTTCCTCTCCACAGCCTCCCACCCTGCCCAGCTAAGCCCAAGACCCCGGCTCACTCACAGTGGTTCTCTGCTTGTCCAGCAAGGAGGCCAATGGGCCTCTTCGGAGCCTCCTCCTCCTCAAGGTGAAAGTCCTCAGCCTCCCACTGTCCAGAGGCCTTAAAGAAACTGCCACAGACCCCATAGGCACAGCACTGGTAGGCATAGGGCACCTCCAGGACCCTGAGAGTGGGAAAAGATGAACGTGTTGTCTGAGGAGTATTTGAGGTCTAAGACCTCAGTCTGAGTTAAGTGCCCAGAGACCCAGCACTCAGTTCCTGCGCTTTGACCCCAAAGAACACTGATGACTGAGTAGGGGGCTTTCTTGTAAGGATCTTACAGTACAATTCCTGCTTCAGAAGGGCTCTGGGTAGATATTAGTCTTATCCTTTTTCATTCTGAAAGCTGAGATGGGGAGGTAGACTTTCTATCTATTGTTTAAGGAGTCTCCTCTGCAAGTTCAGAGTAGACAGCAGCTTACCCCAAGGTCACACAACACTCAGAGCTCTGCTCCTCCACCTAGCAAATAGCTTTCCCTTTTATGTTTAAGGAGACAGGGATTTTCCCAGAGACTCTCTGCCCTGGCCCTTAGTGAGACCCACCCCCGGGTCCCTTCTAGGTACATGCAAACTGACTGGGTGCCCTCTGAGGGTGCGGGCAGATGCAGTGGGTCTCTCATTAGTCGGCAGCAGGCATGGACCACACAGCCTGCATGTAGGAGGCCCGGATATCATCAGCACCAGGCACTGTGTTTGCAGTGTGTTTTCCACTCATCAGTGCCCTGGGCTCTGCCCTGTTCCAAGATCCAGATGCTGTTCGAGTAAGGACGGACAGTCTGGGGACATGGAACTGGACACAAAAGCAGGAGGTCCAGGGCCTTTGCATCTGTCCACACAAGAGGTCTCAGTAGTCCCTAGTGTTGGTTCTCTGGAACCAGGCTATGCATAACATATTTGATGTGGCAAAAGGAGTGCATGTACTCCTGGTTGGGCTGGTAGGAGGCTGGATGAGCCCTTTTCATTTTGCCTAGGCTAAACCCTAAGCCACTTGGTCACCATACTTTCCTCAGGATGAGGCCCTGGGTCTTTCTTCCTGTCTCTTCATAGTCTCTCCAGCTGTCCTGGGACAAACCTGTTGGGGGAAGGTAGGCCCTCACCTCAGTTTTGGGAAACTGTCCTTGGAGAAGGCTTGAGAGAGAGCCAGGTTCCCTTTGAGCTTCAGATGCATCAGGCCCCCAAGTCCAGCCAGGGGCAGTGTGGTCAGCTGATTGTCTGTCAGGTCCCTAGGACAGTGGATGGTCAGGGTTATTGGCAGTCAGTGGGATTGTTGAGGGGGAAGGCTGTGCTGTGGGTGTAGCCAGTGTGCCTGGGATGGAAGCAAGAGGAGAGGAGCAAAGGACAGAAGATGAGCAAATAGAGAAGAGAGCATCAAATGCTGGGGAGGAGGGTGAGAAAGAGTTGCTAGAGGGACCATGTATATATAATATCTTCATTCATTCAACAAATCATTGTGCCAACTATATTCCAGGGACTGCCCTAACTTGATGCCATGCCATCCCAATTCTTAGGTTACGGAGCTTCCCCAGCCTCACATCCTGTGTCCAGGTCTGATTCCCATCCAGATCCCCTGACCACCTCACTGGAGGGCCTGCCTGGTGTTGCTTGTCTCCATTCCTTTGCCCTTACTCCCCTTTCCTGATGATACAAGAGCCCAGAGTCAGGCATCTGGCTCTAAGCAGGGGCTTGGTCATCCCTTCTGTTTTACAGTGCCTGCTTTGTAGCCAGAGGTGAGGACATGCGCGGTACTCTACTGGAGACACATTAGAGGAAGCCAGTGCTCCAAACCAAACACCATGACCACAGACGGTGCGTCGTGGAAACAGCCCTGGACTGGAAGACAGGAAACCTGGCACTGTCACCAACTTACTGTATAATCAAGGGGAGTCACAAATCTGCCTGTGTTTCAATGTCCTCATCTCTTAAAGGGATAAAAATATGGACCCTACCTATCTGGCAGGAGCAGAGCAAACAGGAGAGGTAAGAATTTTGCCAGGTAACATATACCCTAGAGTCCAGAGCGCTGCAGCCTTGGGGAGGGCCCATATGCTGCCTGGGGAGGCCTGGGACCTAGCTTCTGGGTTTGGGCAAGCTTCTCCTCCCTGGTCACTGGAAGGCTCACCTATGAGGTGAGGGAAGGGCTAGGGGATCTCTGAGGCCAGGGCTGGAGGGAGCCTATAAGGAATCTTTTGTTTATTGGAAAAAGGCCCCCTCTGGGTACATAGGCCCTGAGGATGCACAGCTCCACAAGCTGGCAGGCAGGATGTCCACTACCCCTTGAGTGGAGCTCTTGTGCAGCGAATAACCTGCATCACAGTGTGGGGCAGCCCTGTCACAGGTCCCTTCCAGCTCTGGCATAATGGCCCTGTAGCTACCAATATATGCTCCCTGTTTACATCACTGTAATTTAAAGGGCCCCGAGTCCTGGTGTGGTGTTGTGGGTTAATGCGCCAGACTGCGAAGCCGCTTGAACTGTAAGATTGGCATGGTTCAAGTTCACCAGCTGTTCCTCAGAAACCCTATGCAGGGTCACTATGGGTCAGAACTGACTCAAAGGCACTTAACAACAACAGTACAGAATGGCAGCTCCTTAGGATCACACTCCAAGCAGGAGAGCCCCTGGCTCCATGAGTCGTGAAGGGGTTCCAAGCCCAGATATCCTTTTTATTGGTACAAATGGAGGCTGGGAGAGGAGCAGGAACAAGGGGGCATAGAGTGAGCTGAGGCTGCCAAAATGTTGCAGACCATTAACAGATGACGTTCCAGAGCTTGCAGGAGACAGCTGTTTATCAGGTCTGTCAAACGGACCATCAGAGTGATTGATGAGGCTGGAGCCCATCTCCCTGGGGTGTGGGACTCCCACATTTATGCATATTCCCACTCTGGGGTGGGTCCTCTTGTCCCACTGTGAGCCCGAAATCCCTGGTGGGTTCCCAACAACCCAGAGGAAAGTACAGGGGGGCACTTACAGTTTGACCAGGGAGCGTAGAGTGGCAAAGGCCTCAGGGTGGATGGACCGGATGGTGTTCCAGCTCAGGTCCCTGTGGGCAGAGGGAGTAGGACAGGGAGGGACAGTGACATATGGAGGAGGACTCAGGAGCAGAAACCTCAGTCCTGCTGGTGCAGTGGTTAACAGTTCCGCTGCTCACCAGAAATTCAGCAGTTTGAACCCACCAGTGGCTCTGCAGGAGAAAAACCCTGGTAATTTCCTCTTACAAAGACTATAGCCTAGGAAACCCTGTGTTGCTATGAGTTCGCATTGACTTGATGGCACACAAAAACCACATCCATCTTCTGCCTGGCCCCTAACCTGGATGTGGCACCAGAAACAGGGATATTGGTAATTTGGTTCCAGAGCTTCATTGGCCCCCTGGGTGCCAGCTAGAGAAGTGGCTAGAGAAGCCATCTGCCGGAGAGGCACCTCTCCTGTGTGTGTGTCTGCTGGAGTGGGCGAGGGCAGGGAGACTGTGTGTGTGTCACATATGTTTACAGAGCACATGTGAAGGACGTGAGCATGCCCAGGATAGAGCATTCCGGGTGCCACCCGCAGGATACTCACAGCGCTCGCAGGGAGCTCAGCTGGCTGAAGGTGTCAGCTCCGATTTCCCAGATGCGGTTGTGCTGGAGGCCACTAGGGCAGCAAGAGAGGCTGAGATGAGCAGGCAGGCTCAGGCCCTGGCTCTACTCCATGCCCCCCATGCACTGGGAGGAAGAAGGGAGAGCCCCCCACTTCTCCTGGCACAGGAAGAAAGGGCCCAGACCGCGGAAGTCACCAGAATTAAAGGGAGCACAAGGGGATCCGGTTGCCTTCGGTAAGTGGGTCAGAAGACAAAGCCACAAAACCATCCCTGTGGCCCCAAAGGGAGTCAGCTTCCAGTGTTCCCACCGGGCCTGGCTCTTAGCCCAGCCACCCCCCTCCCCACCCTCATGGCTCCTCCAGACCCTGACCCGGCAGCCTAGCCCTGCCCTGGCTTGGACTTCAGGGACTGGCTCCAAGCTGTGGAGCAGAGCTCAGTAGACTGGTTCTCTGAATGGAAGATGGGCTGTGAACCTCAGCAAGTTGAAGACCCTGCCTTTGTCATCTAGACAAATAGGGCAGGTTTTCATACCTCTCTTTACCTTGTCCTGGCCTCAAATGGCACTGTCCTGCTTAGAAGCAGAGAATGGAACAAGGGGGCTCAAGAGACCTTGCTAGCATTCAAAACCAGGAGCCGTGTGAACGATTCTAGAAAAATTTTAAGTGTTTTTTTTTTTTTCCCTTTAATTCCAGGATTGCTCTTCCATGTCTGTTTGTGCATGTGTGTGCTCATGGGGGTGTGGAAAATGAGACAGCATGTTTCAAAACATAGGGCCCCCAAGTGGTCGGGTCCCCTCAGTGCAAACCCCCTTCCAAGACTAAGACTCAATGAGAATACATGCTCTGATTGGTGACCACGTTCGTCACTGATAAGGGGAAGTGAGAGCAAAACAGCAATGAAATGGCGAGCTAAGCCCTACAATGTTCAAGAGACTCCTGTAAACCCGGGTGGAGACCTGATTGGCCAACAGTATGGCAAGACCTGGAGACTCTTGGGCCTAGAGTCAGTGACATAG